GAGAAGAGTTATTAGATAGAGTTCAAAATACAGCATATATTAAAGTTTTTGTGTATTTGAACAAGTTAGTCGGAGATTTGTCGGAGTTTGTGGATCGATCGATCCTAGTTTATCGTCTGTTTACAGACGGAACTTTCCAAAGTTTTCTAAAACCGGTTTTCTACTACTATCGATGATTTTCGATAGTCTTCGAAGACGGTTTTCAGCTTGATTTTTCTTATAAAATCTGCGTGATGGGGCTCATAACCTGATAAGATGGATCACAGCTGATATAGAAATGTTAGTTGATATAGGAAAGGTAAGATTGCATACTTGTATAACTAACCTGATATAGAAATGTTAGTTGATATAGGAAAGGTGAGGAAAGACCAATCCATCTACAACCAAATCTACAATAGATATATAACAATATGCTAATAGGTTATAAAGATATTGATAGAGAGAAATGTAATTAGCATAACAACATGATGTCATTTACAATCACTGTCACATAATAGACATCCATAACACTGCCTCTGTTGTAGTATTGTCGGTAAATAAAAGGAACCTCTTCCCTACAGTCGGGAATAGGTCCGCTACCATCCGGAGTCCCAAACGGACTGCTACCGTCTCCAACCAGGCGATCTTGCGTTTCGGGCCTTCGGGATTCAAGCCTCGGGTTTCCCACCCTTCCAAGAGTTCGAATTGAGCCCATCTGGCTCCGATTAGGATGCCTATGCCAAAGCTGGTGCTCGCATCGCCGGCCCAGTTCAAGTCGATGGCTTTGACGTCTGGTACGATCCTGAGAGGTTGGAACTCGCTCAGCGTTTGGCGCCATTCTAGCAAATCTTCTCGTGCATCTACTGGCACCTTCCTACGAGCCTGTGGATTGTGCCAATGATTTGTCCACCAATAAAGGTCCCATAGGCAGCATCTCATGTTCGGTACTATGTAGGTGATGTGGTTTAGTTGTCCCGTGATCTTTTCGATGTCCTTCTTCAACCAGGTCTTCCCTTCGATGAGTAAGTCTTCTACTTGCTTTATTCTCTTGGCTAGTTTTTTGTCTGGAAGCCTGACTGTCTTCTCTTTTCCGTTCCAGATGAAGCCAAGATACTTTTGTTCGACTTGCCAATCACTAAACTTCTCAACATTAGACTGGACACCTAAATTTTTGCTGATTTGTACTACGGTGGCCATATCTAGCGGATCAGTCTCTTCTTTTATGAACATATTATCATCCACCCATCGGAAGATGCATTCGATGTTCAACAATGCCATAATAATATCGCGCCATGCGTCCGCCATCCAACCAAACGTGCCGCATCCGGCGACTCCCCCAAATGCTATCCTCACGTCTATCCAAATTTTATTTTCAAAGTCTTTGATGGTGAGGTACTTCCACTGAGATTTATGCGTTGGACCCTGGCGGTAGGCCTTTCTCCAATCGAAAATGGCTAAAAGCAATGATTTCCCTGTATGTGCTTTGAAATAGGTTGCTACTTTCCAAAAGTCGTCCCAGGAAGTTGAGAAATCATCTTTATCAACAAAAGAGTTAACTGATGAGATCAACTCGGGTTCATCAATGTAGTCTAAGTTACGCAATATTTCTTCTGCTTCGTCTGTATACTCTTCATCTTGTTCTTTTGTCCAAGATTTGTGTCGCGCTTCTACATTCTCGTCTGTGCTGATGCTGGGGATTGGCTTCTTCGGATAGGAAAGGTCGTTGATCATTCGTAAGGAGCCGTCATTATTTGTGACGCTCCCCATGGGGTTGGATCAAAAGAAACCCCACTTTGCAAAAACTTTGTCGTGTGTGAATGGGCCAAACATCCGGCCTAAACTCTTCTCCTTGTGTAAGTTCTTCATTATCTCTTTCTTGACCGCTAATGCTGACGAGTGGTTGTCTGGCGTGAACCACTTCAGGTCGCCAATTGTGTGTTCAGGAATTCCCTGATCGAATCCTTCCACCAGACTTTTCAACACATGTGACCACTTTTCTGCCAGCTTACATTCCTCTAGGAGAATCCTCCATTCTTCAATGTTCATCTCGCAACTCGGTGACTCTGGCCAAGTTGGGGAAGGTGAGCTTTTGGGTTGTTCCTGTCTAGTGATGGGCTCGTGGCATTGTGTCGCAGGGTTGCTCAGACTTCTGTAAGATCAAAGAATTCACCCCCAGTTGTGGGTTGGGACGAAAGGTAGTCGTCTGAGTCAATTTCATTTCATTATCATATCTCTTAGGCTCAACGGGTTGTCTGTCTCCTTCTTCTTTTTTTTTTTTTTTTTTGGATTGGAAAGACAAATTAGGAGGGAAAACAATATATGCTAGTAACTTCAATAATAAGAGTTTGGTAAATTGATAAACAAATGCTCTATAGTGAGAAAGATATATTTTTCTCCGTTTGTGTCTTCATCTTTTATCTGTTTCGTCATTTAATCAAGACGGGGTTTGGTAAGAAAAACTTTGAGGGAAATGGGGTGCAGATCTAGTCTATGCGAGTTTTATTATAACTTACTTGCTTCCTCCTGCTACAGGGCCTTTTCCTTTGTTCGTTTCTTTAGCACCTGGGCTCTGGGTGTTCTCAATCATCAGTTGCTTCGGAGCTGGGGTAAAACTACCGTATCCAATTGCCGGTCGTTGGATCAATGCCGGGTCAACCGCTTGGAAAGAAGGATGTGTTGTCCCGCCTCGGGTCTGGTTGTTTGTCTGATAGGCCGGATTATAATTATTGCCTAGGTACGGTGAGTTGTAGCTCTGGTTGTGGTTGTATGCACCTGAGTTGTAATTGGAATTGTACAAGTTGAACTGATTGTCTTGTCTTCTTCCGTTAAAATGTCCCCTTGTAGCTTGGAAATTTCCGCGGTATGGGTTGCTACTCACTCCCCTTCCTCTACCACTTTGCTGGTTTCGAATAGGTCCGTTCTGAGAGGAAGTATGTGTGAAGGACGAGGTTTGGACTTGTGATGGAGTGGCCAATAGCAAGTGAGTTGAAGTGTTCTCTAATCGAATTTCGTTAGGAATGTTCAAACCATCCCATGAGTTATGTTCTGGGTGGACTTGGCCGTCTAGCGGGCTCATATTTTGTAAAGCGTTTCCAATTGCGTATGGGTTGTCATCGTATCTTTCGTCTTTAGCAAATCATCATAACATTTAATCCCAGAGACGGTTCGCTTACAAAACTCGACAAAATCCACCATTAGTGTGATTTTCCAGTTTTGTCCTTGGTCAGAAACCTATCTTTGTACATCAATTTGCATTCACCATCATGATCATTGCCAATCCCAATCACAGTTCAGCGGATCTCCATATGTATCCCCAAAATCAATGCAACAACTCACCACTTGCTCGACACGGCCAAAGCCTATGTGACAATGCACAGATGATTAACACTTTCACTTCCCCCAGAGTTGAAATACATGTCATCATCATCAAGTTGATTAACACACCATACCATCCATCTTTTCTATAATATTAACTCTCATTCAGCTCGGGAATAACTTCAAGCAGCGATGAATCTAAAGACAAGCGGGAAAAGATGAGATATTAAGCACCAAGATCCCATACCCAGGTCAGCGATTTGTCTGTCCTAGAATTTATCATTGTGATTCTAATTACTGAAGATTAGGCAATTCGCCTTCTGAATCAAGACTCCTCATACCTAGCCAGATGCCATTTCTTCTAGCTTCACCTTCTTCTTTTTTATTCACTATGTGTGATAGTGAACTTACTGCACCATCATTACCTTTATATCAAGACTTGGCTACCCAATTCAAACTCAATCAACTCTTGAATAAAATCTTCTGTTTTCTGTAAGTCATCAAAGCTTTATATCACAGGAAGATTGAGAATACAAAACTAACTCTTCATTCTCTTTCAGATAATTTGATTGATTTCAACTGGCAGTTCAAGCAATCTATGCAAAAACTCTGATTTCACTAGATGGACACAATATTTTAAATCCTTGAAAATCAGACCTCTTGATCTAATTTACAAACGTAAGTGTACTTCCAATGCTAATCGTCGAACTTATAGAGCAGGTTAAAAAGTATTATATGATGACACAAAAACGGCCCAATCTATCTTACTCCTCGCACTGGATTCAATCTTTTCCTATCTTTTCAAGCCCCTTAACACAGACTTGAAAATCACCCCAGAAGAAAAAGGAATGGTCTCGAAGCTGTTTGAATCAAGAATGGTACATTTACGATTTGCAAGGAACCTTATAAGACTCTGTCTTCAACCTCGATCACACGACTTGGACAATCACTGAAACTATCTGTTAAAAAGGATTCGATTTCAAGCAAGATTTTTCATTTTCAACTTGTTGGTCTGCATCGGTAGAAATGGAAAACTGAAAAAGCCATATCATTTGGGTCACAATCTGCTAATCAACATGCCTTCGATCCCAAAGTTTTATCAAGGTTGTACATAACTTTATCAGATTTCTTTCAAACAATCAACTTGAATCTGACATCAAAACCATCTCGATCCTCTCATCTTTGACACCCTCAGGTCTATTGGTTTGCAAAGGTTTTGTGAAGTTTGTTCCCTGTCAAGCTTTTGTTTGTAAAAACTGACCGTTCAAACTTTTATGTTTTCTTTATTCTTGATAGCACCCAAACGATCATTGTCTCTTTACAATCATCCAAATCGAAATAGATCTGCATATTCAATTTTAATGACATGTCTCTTCCGAGTTTGTTTGATTGAACCAAACTGAGATTGAATCGATCACCTTTATCACTTGTGTTCTGTCACCTGCACAAGATTCCAGATCACTGTCGATCACAGCAAATCATACATCAAATCCGGGTCATATCCACTATTTAATCAAAAATGAAGTAAATTATCAATTTGGAGGGAATTACACATGGAGTAACTTATCAATTTTGCCCAAACTGGTATAGTTTCATCCATATATCCATATGATGTTCATAGAATGCCTTCAATAGCTAATTTGCTGACTTGCGTATGATCTTTTTGTTTTAGGGATTGACAAACTCAAGATGTTCAAATTAATTGCATGGGTAATTTGCTGATAAAGTAAGTCCATAACCAATTGTCAGATATTTATTGTTCAAAAGCACAATCTTCATGAAAATCACCTATCAACAAGACTGACCATTGTTGCCTTTATATAGTTAACCCTACCAACCCGATCGAGGACGAGATTAATCAACAGGAACAACCAAGTCATTATCACGATCAGTAGACCGAGCTCATCTCATTAACTTTGACTAAAACTTACCAGGTAAATTGAGATCAAGGACATCAATTAAAGGATTCTTAATTGTCTCAACTTGGCTCTTTTTATTTCATTGTCTCTTGAATTCATCATCAAACCATCATTCATCAATTACGTCAATTTTAACTTTGTTGGAAACTTCACTATCTGATCATATCTCACCACCACGTCCAATCCAAACAAAATTAAAAGTAGTAAGATCAAGATTGAAAAAAAGATTAGAAGCACAATCAACTGATTATAAATCATTAAAATCAAATCATAGTACTCATTATGATGAGGAACCACCAAAAGGAACGACAGAATGGTTTAAGATTGTAATGAATGATGTAGTATTATCAGTAGATGAATCTGATGAATTGATGCATAGTTTAAAATCATTCAGAACAATTATTTCAGACGAATTGATTAGAAAAACTATTGATCTTTGTAAAATGCCTAAAATCCCAACTTATTCACTTCTAAATGTAATCTCACTCTACTCTATCTCTCTTTATAATCTTATTCTAGAAATCTCAATACTGATTTGGTATTTTGTTTTTGTTTTTGTTTTTAGAGCACCAGTCATCATGTGGGGTA